GGCCCCATAGGGAATTCCACCCAAAGCCCCAGTGGGGTGGCCACATGCGTCCGCCACACCCAGTACAGCGCTTCGTGGCCCCATAGGGAGCTCCACGGAAGGCCCCAGTGGGGATGGCCACATGCGTCCGCCACACCCAGTACAGCGCTTCGTGGCCCCATAAGGAGCTCCACGGAAGGCCCCAGTGGGGGTGGCCGCATGCGTCCGCCACACCCAGTACAGCGCTTCGTGGCCCCATAGCGAGCTCCACCTTTGGCCCAAGTGGGGGTGGCCACTTGCGTCCGCCACACCCAGTACAGCGTTTCGTGGCCCCATAGGGAGCTCCACCTGCGGCCACACTGGGGGTGGCCACATGCGTCCGCCACACCCAGTACAGCGCTTCGTGGCCCCAAAGGGAACTCCACCCAAGGCCCCAGTGGGGGTGGCCACATGCGTCCGCCATAGCCTGTAGAGCGCCTTGTGGCCCCATAGGGAGCTCCACGTAAGGCCCCAGTGGGGGTGGCCACATGCGTCCGCCACACTCAGTACAGCGCTTCGTGGCCCCATAGGGAGCTCCACCTGCGGCCCCAGTGGGGGTGGCCACATGCGTCCGCCACACCCAGTGCAGCGCTTCGTGGCCCCAAAGGGAACTCCACCCAAGGCCCCAGTGGGGGTGGCCACATGCGTCCGCCACACCCAGTACAGCGCTTCGTGGCCCCATAGGGAATTCCACCCAAAGCCCCAGTGGGTGTGGCCACATGCGTCCGCCGCACCCAGTACAGCGTTTCGTGGCCCCATAGGGAGCTCCACGGAAGGCCGCAGTGGGGGTGACCACATGCGTCCGCCATACCCAGTACAGCGTTTCGTGGCCCCATAGGGAGCTCCACGTAAGGCCCCTCTGGGGGTGGCCACATGCGTCCGCCGCACCCAGTACAGCGCTACGTGGCCCCATATGGAGCTCCACCTTCGGCCCCAGTGGGGGTGGCCACATGCGTCCGCCACACCAAGTACAGCGTTTCGTGGCCCCATAGGGAGCTCCACAGAAAGACCCCAGTGGCACCGCCGGCGTGCGTCGTCCACCACCCAGCACTTCACTTCGCGGCCCCATTGATTGGGAGTTCCGCTAAGCTCAGTGGCACCGCCCGCATGCGTCCCCCCCACCCGTCACAGCGTTTCGTGGCCCCGTGGGGAGCTCCAGTTGCCGCCGAAGGCCCAGTGGCAACGCCCGCATGCGCCCCCCCGCCCCCCCTCCCGTGGCCCCATAAGGAGCTCCACCGAAGGTCCCAGTGGCACCGCTCGCATGCGTCAGCCACCACCCAGTGCAGCGTTTCGTGGCCCCGTAGGGAGCTCCACAGAAAGAACCCAGCGGCACCGCCCGCTCACGTTTCCCCCAACCAACCCAGCGTTTCGTGGCCTCATCGGGAGCTCCAGCGAGGGGCACTGCCCGCATGCGTCAGCCACACCCAAGACAGCGTTTCGTGGCCCATAGGGAGCCCCACCCAAGGCCCCAGTGGCACCGCCCGCATGCGTCTCCCCCACCCATTCCGGCACGTCCCTCACGCGGTTGTGGCCCCATATGGGAGTTCCACCGAAAGCGGCACCCACAACGTGTTACTCACATTGCATATGGTTGGGTCTGTTGTTGGGATTTGTTTGTGAGCGGCTACACATTGATTATCATTGTGTGGTTGGTGGATCTGCAGATTTTGGCCCTAGTGCGTGGGCTACGAGTCGTATCCTGTTTCAAGGGATGGGGCTACGTATCGAGTTGTTTCCTGTAGGCGATGTGGGTTGCACGTCAATTGCCTGTGTGTAAATGTTTACATGGTGATGCTCGTTTTGGACGATGAGCATCACAATGTACATTATGGGAGATGTATTTGCTGAGTTCCATTTTGACGTCCCCATGGTCGAGAGAGAGAGAGATACACATACATACATATGTATATACATAGACAAACACATTTACATACTTTACATACCGGTACACCGGCACATGTACAAACAGGTGCGTGAATACATCGGTACACCGATCGATGGTAAGGCATATACATATACGGACGGGCACTCGTGGATCTATACATGTACACATATACGGATAGATGGACGGATGGGCCAGTAGATGTACATATCTCAACATTGCACATATAAATATATAGGTGTGTAGGTCGATGGATACACGGACACGTGGGTCACAGCTATACGTATATGTAGAGTATCTACACTGCTATATATTTACACCGATGCGCGACATTTGATGTTTATCATTTGACTGCAGGTAGACCGGTTCGCAGGTATATGTTTAGAAATAGTGGCGGATGTAACAACCATGTATACGTATGGCAATTCGCGCATGTAGGTGGGTATACAGATGATGGGAGTGCAGGGCCGATCTATATATATATATATATATATGTGTGTATGCGTGTGTGCTCGTCGGTATATACATATACACATGTGTATATGTATGTATCCACATGCATCGATCGATGGCTATATGTAACGCTGGTTCGATCGAGATATTAATCCATTTGCGTTGGTATGGGCAGACCGGTAGGCTACAAGTATATGAAGGCGTGGGGCCTTTGTTTTCGTCTTCACAGGCGGGTGCTGACCTGTTCATGTACAGATGGATCGCACGAGGAATCCAGTGATATGTATGTGTATACATACACAGATGCAGGGACAGCGAGAGGTGAAGAGAGAGAGAGAGAGAGATAGAGCAACCACCCCTCTGTACATTTCCTCTCCCGCGCGTGTACGCGGAGGGTGCGAGGGTGACCGCGGTCCCTTGCCATTGCCCACCTTGTGGTGCGTGTGTATGTGTGTGTGTGTGTCGGAGGTTGAGGGTGTAAAAGAGCAGCCACTTCGCCTTCCTAGTGGCTAACAGCCATTTCTCCTCTTTTCCAAGTTCGTTTTCTGTGCGTTGTGCGTAGGGAAGGTAGAAAGAAATTGGGGGAGAGAGAGAGAGAGAGAGAGAGAGAGAGAGAGAAAGAAAGAGAGAGAGAGAGACCCCCCCCTCCGATTTCATCCTCTGCTTTGTGCGTAGAGGGCGTGGGGGGTACCAGTGTTCCCTCCCAACGCCCCCCTTGCATTATATGGTAACAGGGAGAGCGAAGGAGGAACAGCGAAGGAGAGAGAGAGAGAGAGAGAGTGGGAGAGAGAGAGAGAGAGAGACAGACGCAGCAACTACTGCCTTCACCATTTCTCCCGTTCATTTTGTTTGTTTAGCGTGATATATCTATATATATAGAGAGAGAGAGAGAGAACAACACACAACTAGAGAGAGACATACAGAGGCATAATGACCGCTACGCCTTCCCGCTTGGCTGCGAGAGAGACGGAACGAGGAGGAACATGCAGCACATATTCAGTACACAAGACAGAGACTCATAGATGTTAGACGAATCGCATCATGAGCGATCGGGAGGCGAGGTATCGACACAGAGAGTGGTTAGCAAAAGAGTGTGGGAGAGAGGAGGGAAGAGAGAGAGAGAGAGAGACGTTTGGTTTCCATTTTAACATTTGCCGATGTCATTGTCATCGTCACCGCTCTCCTAACCGTTTACAGCGGTATCATCGACGGCATCGCCAAAGTCGTGATTGGGTGCACCATTCTTAGCATCGCAAACACGACGCGGTAGAAGACGTCACAGGTTACACGAAAAAACGCGGGAGCGTCGAGAAAGACAGCCAGCCTTTTTCAGGGGGGGTGCTAGTGGTGGATCGGCTCCCAGGGCGGGTTCGAGGCTGGGTGCCTGATTCCCCCTGGATGTGGAGCCTGGCTTTTCTTCACGCCGACGTCTCCGATGCATCGGTGATGCATCGACGACGTGTCGCGATCGTCCGACCCCATCTACTCGCACCAACTCAGGAATGCGTCTATTGTTCAAACGGGCGCAGAGGAGGAAAGATACCAGCGTTGCTACAAGATGCTTCAGTCTCGCCTGCTTGGGCCTCCCGAGGGGCCCAAGCCGTCACAGCTGGACTCGCCTCCAAGTTTGTTCTGGTCAGCAGGCGCCCCGGGAGAGGTCTGGGAAGTAATCCGCCGTACCGATAGCGTGTGGTTGTCCCAGTAACCGCCCATCGGGGACTATGTGGTTCGAGGGTGGGCCCCTCCCCAGACGCAGCGCCGAGGGGGGGATGGGCTCAGGGGGGGGGGGACGTGTCGGCCCCGACAGGGGCCCGATAGCCCGCCTTGCCCAGGCGCGTGCGGATTCGCCATCCGGGATCTGTCGGCGATGCATATGATGGGCTGTTTTCCCCCACCACCACCATAAGATGGAAGGGGGCAAGGAGGTGGAAGACGAGGAGGAGGAGGACGAAGAGGAGGACGAAGAGGAGGAGGAGGAGGTGGAGGAGGACCCCTCCCCTCTAATTTATGGTGGTGGTGGTGCAAAACAGGCCCATCAGCATCGCCGATTCCATGTCGACGTTTCCTTGCGCCGCTGCGTACAGAAACAGAGCCAAGCCTGCGGGTCTGGCCGTCGACGTCGCGCCCCAGGTTTAAGTCGAGCTTGTCCCCCTACAGGGGGAATGTTCAAAAATACAAGAAATGATATGGGGACGATTTGGGGGACTATTCTTGCACCCTTTTGAAACATGGTTTGGCTATTTTTTATTTTCGTCCACAGACCGCCTGTAGGGGGACATGCCCAACCTAACCCCAGGTCCGTTTGCCAGTTCAGGGCCCCCTCTCCCTCCGGGTGGTGTGGTGCATGACCGCAGGGTTCCAAAGGGGTGTTTTGGGGAAGAGGTTTTCCAGAGAGCGCCCCAGGGGCCCCAGAACCTTGTCAAAACAGGGGGCGCGAGGCCCCTCGGGAACCCCGCCTGTAAAACCCCCTCCCAGAAAAACCTCCTTTGGAACCCTCCGGCATGAGCATCCGCCTCCCGGCTAAGTTTTTTCTTTGGGAAGACCACCACGTGCCGCCGAGTGCCGCCGAAGGGCCGCCGACTGCCTCCGCGGGGCGGTGGTGCAGCTGCTGCTCCGTTTTTCGCCTTCGGGAAGGCACCGCGGCAGGATGGCCTCGGCCGCGGGCAAAACTCGTTTTCGAGTCATTTGGTTCGGCGTGCAGGTCGCAAGGATTTGGTGAAGCTCTTATGGAATCGTGCGCGTGGCGACTGTTTGTTCTTGTCGCACGATTTCGGTATCACGCTGCGCTTCTTTGCAGTGACGAGCAAACGTTGTCGGAAGACAATGCGTGGGTCTGTGCCGTTGAGCCCCATTGCTTCCGATGTGTGGGTGCTCCTGTATTTCAGGGAGTGTCAGCATACGGTGTGCACTAGTCATGCGCGTTGGCCAGGTTGGTGGCCATGGAGGTGGTGGGTGCTTTTTCTCAGAATGTTCCTTGCGTCAGGAACAGCTTGTCTGCGGCCGCTGCGTCGAAGAGAAGCCCGTTTGAGTTCAAATAATCTCTTGCTCCACAATGCGCTCTGGTTCTGAAAAGGTAAAGGTGCTGCTGTAGTTTCTAGGATATCAGTAGCCTTTTCTTGCTCGAAGACCATCGGCAGAAGGTACTTCATTGCACAGGTTGTGGTACAGCCCTGTGCGCAAGAATGCTTTCTTTTCTGACATCTGTTGTCGAACAACCCGCTGGGGGGAAGTCGGACTCATTGCCCGTGGATGTCCTTAAGCGTCCCTGGCAATGGAAAGTGCCTGAACGTTTTTACCCATTCGCTCCAGCACAGGGTATCTTAAACATTCGCGGTCAAACCGACTGCTGGCTTGACGTGGACCGCGAGTACTGCCGCACCGTCGAGATGAAGAGGCTTGTGCTCTCTTCTCTGGGCAATGCTGAGGAAAAGCCGGCGCGGGACGACCCTAGGAGCATCATGGATGCGTCAGGTCGGAGATGTGACATTTTTCAAGATGCGTGCATCGAGGCCTTCCTGTGCATTTTGGAGGCGGCGACTGCACAGTTTCCGAACTTACTGGAAGTTGTTTGGGGCCGACATGAGCATATCCCCCAGGAGGGTGCTTCTCGAAGCCCTGGTTTTCCAACTGTGGTTCGTAACCTTGCCACCGGCGACGTGCACGTGTTGTCAGAGCATCTTGATCACGGTCCTGAGAAGCTCCTTCGGCTGGCAGCAGTGCTGGTCCAGGAAGACTTTGTGCTGCTCGTGCCCGAAGGCGCCATCGCCTCCACCAGACACGGCGGTGACAGAGGCGGGCGTGCGGGCTCCGTGCCAACGGGAGCAGCAGATCAATCTGGCCAACGCAAGTATGTGATGGCAGCGCACGCAGTATGCTTCCCGGATCGCTGGAGCCCAGAGGCGAAGATGGGGAAGACGGTGGACGAGATTCACACGAGCGTGCCACATTACACAGCCACAATCTCGACGGCCGTGGATGGATTTCTGCGGAATAGGTTGAAAGTTGGGGACCGCGCGTACATCCGTTTCAATTACACATTCCAGGAGGGCGGGAATCTATTGATCGACGCAGGCGCAGACGAATCAGCGGCGACAAACGACCGCCACGATGGGCGAGCGGGAGAGGCGTTGCGGTGTCCGCCGTGCTGTGGCAAGGAGGATGTTGACAGTCAGAGGCAGCCAGCAGCAGACGAGGACAATGCAGCAGACTTGTATTTGCGCGTTGAACGGCAGGGTTTCAAGAAGCTTGCGTGCGGAGCCATTTTGTTTTCCATCCGCACTTACCTCACACCAGTTGCCGATATTCCGAATGAGTCCGTGGAACCTCACTTGCGAAAGGCACTCACGGGAAAGTCGAACACTTCGCTGTCGCGGGAGCAGCAGGGGATGTATGGGCAGCGAGTGTTGGCACAGATTGCGTCGCGACGAAAAGAGCAGCGGTCTGCCAGTAGGTTGGACAAGCTTGCCATCGTTGCTGGCATTGGGATTGCGATTGCGTGTTTGCACACAGTTCGCTGCGCTGGCAGGGTTAAGGACTGAGATCCGCATCGGTACCCAAGCAACTTATTGAGAGTGGCGCTGGCGACAGAAATGCGAGCTGAGTCCTTGGGATCCAGGCGGATATGAGCCACAAGACGGCGGGTGAGTTCGTTAAGGGATGTGCCCAGGAGGTCTCAGACCCTGGAGGATTCCTTATCTGAGGCGGGCGGCAGTGTATCCATGGCCAATGCACCCTTGGAGTTCCGCCGGCCTCCAGGCACACACTAGTTTCTCAGAGTGCACGCGTCGCGACCTGACCCAGTCACGTTGCCGCGTGCATTCGCCACCGCGGCCGCAGGTGCTCCGCAGCAGTGCTTCTGCGCTGCGCAGGTGCAGCGATGCATGGCCTCTGTGTTGACCCCTTGACGGCCTCATGCTCGGTCTCTCGTGGCCTCTGTGAGGTCTCTCGAGGGGCCTTTCGAGATCTTCCTGTACGTAGGCCTCTTCCTTTGGGGGTGGGCTCGGGGCCGTCTCTGGGGGTCTAAAGCCTCGGGCCCGTCTTGGAGAGTGTGGGGCCGTCTTGACAGGCGTCGGCCTGTGATCCTGGCGGCGCAATTTTTCGCACCTGTCTATCTCGCCCATGCTCAGGCCCCGGGGCCCTCGAATATC